CATCATAACAGAGGTCGATCCATTCCCAGCATGCTCGGGTCCCGCCCCTCGAAATATTGAGCGCCCTTGCCGATAGCATGTAGCACTTGGCGCTGGTAGCCCTGTCCAGCCGCATGCTCTGCACCAAAGAAAGAAAGCTGGTAGATGGATCGATCCATCAATCAATTTTGAATTTTGATCAAGGTAAGAAGGAAGCGGCTAGCCCTCGTCTACGTACTAATTGGGTTGATGGTGATACATATTGGATCTGCACGTACCACGAGCTTGCGTGGGAGGAGCGCCGGTTGGTTGGAGAGGCGTCAGAACAAGCCCTTCTTGTTCTTGGACGGCGGCGCGCGGCGGAGCACGCTTTTAGCAAGCTGTGGGAGGTCGCGGGGCAGGAAGCAGGACCAGACGGCGTCGGAGTCCGCGGCGGCGAGGAAGGCCCGGGAAACGGCGGCACAGCATCCGGCGTCGCGTGGCGAGGTGAGGGAGACTATCGACGCGAGGAGCTCCGCCGGCAGGCGCGAGATTCGCTGCCGTCTGCTTCCATGATGGCGTCTCTCGCGGTGATCTGGTTGGTAGATCGATCGGAGGAGACGGATAACATCTGCTAACTGCTTCATGTTTTTTTTGAGAGTGGATGGACATAAATCGTCCTCTACACATATCGCCTTTGATCCCGTGTATGTATTGTGTATGGTTATTGCCTCCACCTCCATCTCGGGTACAAAAGCTCTGCGCGGAGCTTGGGAGGTAGTTTCGGGAGCAGATGCAGATTGTGATCTGCATCGACGACATCTGGAAGATAGAACATGTGCTGGGTTCGTGGTTGATGGATGACAGGTATGGTTTCCTACTTTGGCGTCTTAGTCGTTGTGGGGTGTCAGATCTGGAGTTTGATATGTTGCACAATAAGCTAGTTTAGCTAGCCTGTCTAGTTTCAATAGTTTCAGACTTTGCCTCGATGTAGCTGTCTAGTTTCAATAGTCTCGATGTAGCTTTCTGTTAGGATTCAGTTAGCGTTTTTCTGTCAGGTTAGTTAGTTGTTTCCGCGAGGCGCGACTTGTGCGCGCGTTCCGTGGAGCGATTGTAGGAGGCCATGGACTGCGTGCTTGATCGTGGGATGGTGCGGTCCGGTAAGAGCGGCAGGACTATGCCATGATCACCTTAAGTTCAGAAATAAAAGGAAGAAGAAGCAGAAAAGCAGCATGCAAGTTCGCTGCGCAAAACCTCTCTCTCGCGAGCTGTTTCAGAGTGCATCGAGGGAACCAAGTGGCATCAGAGCCATGTCAAGGTCACCGGCGAGCGGCGGGGAGCAGTCGCGCGGGGACATGGTGGTGCAGCAGGTGGTGCAGCCGGCGCCGTCCAGCGGCGCGCTCCCAATGCTGACACGCACCAACTACCCGGAGTGGTCGCTGCTGATGAAGGTGTACCTTCAGGCACACGGCTGGTGGCGGGCAGTGTCGCACGGCGACGCCCCCTATCACGACGAGCGCAACGCCATGAGCGTCATCCTCCGCGGTCTGCCCACTGATGTGCTGCTCGCCGTGGGAGAGAAGGAGAACGCCAAGGAAGCGTGGGATGCCATCGCCATGCAGCGCCTCGGCGCCACGCGGGTGCGCGAGGCCAATGCGCAGAAGCTCCGGCGCGACTTCGAGAGCATCGCCTTCCGCAACGGGGAAACGATCGACGACTTCTCCCTCTGCCTTTCGGGCATCGTCTCCGGCCTGCGCGCGCTCGGGGACACTCTGGAGGAATCCAAGGTAGTTGCCAAGTTTCTCCGTGTCGTGCCACCTCAGTTTGCGCAGGTGGCGATCGCGATCGAGACGTTGCTGGATATCAGCACGCTCTCCCTGGACGAGGTCACCGGCAGGCTGCGCGTCGTGCAAGAACGCCTCGACGACACGCAGAGCGGTGGCAGCAGTCAGGGCGGTTGCTTGCTCCTCACCTGGGAGGAATGGCAGGCTCGCCTGCACCCCGGCGATCAGGGCGCTCCTCCAGGCGGAAGCAACAATCGCCGCAAGGGCGGCGGCCGAGGAGGCGGACGCGGCGGCAGGCGCATCGGCAGACGCGGTGGTGACTACCCCGACAAGAGCGGCAGGGACAAAGAAAAGTGACGCTACTGCGGCATCAAGGGCCACGGGGCCCGTGAGTGCAAGAAGAAGAAGAGGGAGGAGGAGGCCCTCCTCGCACAGGCCAACGAAGAGGCCGACCCTCAGATGCTGTTCGCCGAGGTGGTCGAGCTGGTGCACCCAATCGAGGCGATGACGCCGGCCGCTGTCTTCCTCAACGAGGAACAGTCCGGCGTCACGCCTGCTACAGAGGACG